TTCTTGCCTCGGAAGGATGAGTCCCTCTTCTCTGTTCGCGAAGTACAAGGTGGCCCATGAGTCACGATCGGTTCAAACGGACTGGCACACCGTGACGAGCGCGATGGAGCCCACACAGACATAATTGATTAATAAATATTGTAAATTATGCGAGTCGATTGTTTCATTATTGCAAATGAATAAGAACAAACATTTTAAATATTAACCGAACACATATTAACCCTAACCCATTTGTGCTTATTTTGAACCGATCGCAACTTATGGACCACCCTGTAGAAGAAAGGACGAGATGAAAGAACGAGACCTTTCTCACCTCTCGCCGCCCGAGCTTTCACGAGGGTGGCCTAAATTACGATCTGAAGTACCCCGTGATTCACCCCCATAAATTACGACCAATGACTACCACGAGTCGTTTTTAGCGGCCACATTTGCAGAATTTCCGGGATGCCGCTCGGCACTGATTGGCGCCGATCGACGCACGATCCGTGCCGATCGTGATCGGATGGGTGACCTGCGACTGAGACGTGAGGGGAATAGACAAGCAACGTCCTCCACGGCCCCATCGCGGTCAGTGTAAGGAACAACGGATGGGAGATAGGGGGATGGGCAGAGGGAGGAAGGGGAAGGGGGAATGGGGGAGGGAGAGGGGAAGGTGAGGGAGAGGGGAAGGTGAGGGAGAGGGGAAGGTGAGGGAGAGGGGAAGGTGAGGGAGAGGGGAAGGTGAGGGAGATGCTGGTTCGCGCAGGGATATCAGCTTCGTGTCTTAAATTCCGAGGTAAAAACTAAAAATGGGATTTGAGCTAGTGGACTGAAAGACGTCAGCCGAATTCGAGCGAGGGAAATCTGCTCTCCCTCGATCCGGACTGGGGAGTTTCACAGCTCTGTAAATTTCTACCTGAGAGACGAGCTCATTTTTTGAGACACGATCCGGGGGATTTCATGGAGTGATTTCAAAATTCAAGCAATACGTAGTAGATGACTAGTGGTGAACTTGCTTAACTAGCACTTTAGCGAGTTCGTTCCAATAGAACATTGATTATGTGCAGGGTGGCCTATAAAAGGGTAATCGAAATGCAATATTGCACTTATTTGGATTGATTCTGGCAATTTATCAATGGCAAGTAATTTATAATAAAAAAATACTGCCCGCTTAATACGAGCATTGCGCCCGTTGAAAGTGACATTAAAGGATTCCGCATAGAAGGCCTTGCAGCAGCCTTGCAGACCTCGTGTACGAGAACAAAGGACATTTTGGCAGTTCGGTCCGTACGAATGAAAATTCCGGAATAGTGTTGAACATCTGTTCAACATGCCAACGTGTGAACCTGTTGACTTGATGTTTTAGAACGATGAAAAGCAATAATCCTAAATTATAAATATATCGTTAAAACATGGAATAGCTAAAAACCTTGAAAGAACCAAATGGTATCGTTTAAGAAAATTTCGCTTACCTTACCTTTTACCGCTTACCTTTTTTTTTGGAACCACCCTGCCTTATGTAATAAAATAATTGGAAACTCGGGATAACATCTCTGCGTCTCCTTGCAGTCGAGGTGAAGTTTCCCCTGTCGCAAATTCACCGTTTGTTCACGAACTAATTAGTTTTCGAGGTGAGTTTGCAAGGCTTTTTTGAGGTCACCTCGTTCCGGGTCAAAAATTTTATTTTTTGATTCATGAAGATGGAACGCCGTTATAATGTGGAAATGATGGAAAATTGGTGGGCCGTAAATATTCGCACCAAATTAAAGTGTTGTGCGTCTCCTACTAACAATTCTCCTTCGAGTCGACCGAATCTCAACAAGACTACGACAGAAGTGACACATGTCACTTGCGATATGTGAAAGTGATTTCCCCGTCGCTGAAATTTCGGTGCCACGCGTTGCATATGACAGCCAAATTGCCAATTGCCAATTTATTGGGCACTTCTTTCGATCGGTCATTCACTTCGTGTTTTCAGATTTTGTGACATTTGTCGTTCAGAGCCTGAGCAACAGCTTCTTTTTTTTTTTTGCACGATGCCAAATGTGCGAGCATGCAGGATCGGCACTCTCGCTAATTTCGCTAACTCGCTAATTTGACTTAACACGGGGGAAAAAAAGCTGTTTCTTGGGTTCCGAGCAGTCAATTTTATTGAAAATTCTAGAAAGCTATCAACACATATTGAATATGACATCCTGTATATTTCCTACAAAATGCACAAAATGTGCAAGCTTTTGTTTTGCGGCCACCCGGTATACACAAGAAACGCAGGAAATGCAATTATTTGAAAAATATTTTAAAATCATTATTCCAGAGTCATAACTCGTGATGGAAACGACGAGTACTCGTACCAGTTCCAGTTCTCGCTTCGAAACGTGACGTACCAGTCACCGAAACGACATCGAACTTCGTTCCATCTGCATCGCCGCGAACGATTTCTGCCGTAACAGTTTCACCGCTCCCTTCCCCTCCGCGGCAAACAATTCCCGCCCGGTATTTGCTTAAAACCCATTAACCCATTTTCTCCCCGCAAAAACGCTGTTTTCGTCACCTTGGTCTCCTCGGTATCTTTGAAAATTTTATTTGTAGGATATTCGTAGACGAGTTTGAAATTTTTTGTGAAAGTGAAAAAGGGATCAGCGAGAAAAAAAAAGAGTGAATTTCTAACCTGGATCTGTTCTCCTCGAGAAGCAATTTTTAAATTCCCGTCTTAGTTATTCCCTGAAGAGCCGATTTTCTAACACTTTCGGCGGGATTCCGGGAGACGATGCAAGCCGGATTCTGTTTTGATGAATCCGTAAACGCATTTTTGGACAAGACTCGACCGTCGAGAACTCCCACGGATTGAAGCCCGATTCGCAGTATAGTCTATTCGGCAGCAAAAGACACACTTGGTTGAGGACAAAAGATTTGATTGATGAGATTGGTGAGAGGCAAGGAGTCAAAGAGATACGTGTATATCTGGCCTCAGGTCATTGGGGGGCTAAAGGTTTATGACACGCTTCAGTATTGTCAGATGAAGGAAAGCACCTTTCAGTCAGCTGAGAGAGATCCATTGGGGTCCCGCTTCACCCGATTGAACGAAAGAAAGTCGGCAACCCTGATTTTCAAGGAAAATCCCTCCATTCACCATGTCTCAGGTGAGGAGCATAAGTGATATTTAATCGAGGCCAATTTAATGACCGACCCTTGACCTGTCACATCGAAGCCGCAAGTGTATCTTTTGAGGCCAAATAGACTATACCTTCAGTACTTCGAGAGGTACCTAGACCTGGGACAAAAAAAGGACGGAATACATTGTGCCTTTCAGCTGCCACGCGAAAACGGCGAAAATGATCCAAGATTACTCCCGCGACCGAAACGACTTTCACCGTCGGATGGATCCGGGATCCCCGGGAAGGGAAACCCTTCCCCTAATGGACGCGCGTTTCCGCGTATTCCGCTTGATTACCCGTCCCCTCGGGGCGTCTCGTCCGGCTCAATCACTCCGTCTGCGAATGCGACTGTTGATGCAAGTCGGATTGCTGGATCCGCACCAGGGCATCTTTCGGACCGCGGTCGTCTTCCAAGAAAACGAAATTGGCGGAACTCGAGTCGTCACGTCATTGCTTTCGGCGCTGCTGTTATGTAATGTGCACACTGGCTACAGTGCAATAGGTTGCAACATGAACTTTAAATCGGGATTTCTCTCTTTTATCCAAAATTTTCTACCTGATAAAACAGAAACTGGGATTTTCCTTTTTTTAAATCCTACTTTATGACACGCGGTTAACCGAATCACCCAGCTATGAAGGAGAGGTCATATGAAGGTAAGAGTGGTCTCATATTAAATGTCACGGTCTGTATACTAGCACAAAAATACAACATGTTAATCGACTAATTAATTTAACATTTAATTAGTTATTTTCCGGTGTTACTTCTTCAGTGCTCTCTCTTGGATCGGACTATACGCAGTCGCTTGGATCTCAACGACGCCCTCTACATCTGATCCCTAATTATATTTGCTCATACTGCTAATTAGATATTATCCTTGAGTTAATGTTTATGTCGCTTGAAATTTAGTTACCCGCGAAACAGATCCCGCGGGACGCGAGTGTGGTACAATACACTAGTACAATAATGTGTACAATAATTCTATTGTATATATACGAGGTGTGGCTATTATGTTTCCAGACTGGTTTTATTGCTGAACTTTGAGAGAGAGGAGGGGAGTGGGGCTATGGCAGTAACTTGGAGGGGAGTCTTAGCTTAGAGCTGGGCAAGTTTCAGTGTGGTCTGACCAGCGCGCTGCGAGCTGCGGCCAGTTAAGGTAGACCGTATTTGTTTGCGCTGGCGGATTTGAAATGGAGCATAATCTCGAGCAGAGAACTAACGTCAAANTAAAAAATACAAAAATAAAGTCTGGAAACTTAATAGCCACACCTCGTATATTGAATATTATAATTTTTTTTTTTTTTACCGTTCTTCGATGGTGCCCGCACTTCTACTTTGTTGAAGGTGTCGCCTTAATTTCGGCCCAGTTTAAAGAGGATGCTGCATCCCGTTGCAAATGAACCCGTTTTATACTTGAAGCCGGTGACGCCGTTGCTCGTCTCGCGCGCTCAAACGAGTGAAATCCGTCGCCGACTCCCTTCACGGTCTTCTTTCACCCGTCGGCAATTATAGAAATATGTGGCCAAGTCCCTCGCTGCTGATATCTCGACATAACAGACTAATTATAAAGTCTTCTTGGCATACAGCGAACAGGGCAGATGACTGGATGACCGATGTTCATCCACTTGTGGATAAATATCAGGAACTTGCTTTTGCCACAATTAATTTTTTTTTTTACGCGGAAGACACAAGAAAGGCGTAAATTAATCTCGTCGTTGCTCAGGACTCCGAAATTTTTGTCATTTGGCTTATGCTTCGCTTCTGCTTCATTTCTCCAATCGCATGCCATCTCAGTCCTCACATCACATCACAATCACGAAGTGAAAGTCCAGCTTCCATCGAGTTCGATGAGACGTTCGAAGTCGACAACACGATGGCTATATATTTATTGCATCACAAGGACCAACAAACAGAGAAAAGAAAAAAAAAAACTCAACGAATGAAGAAGCTTTTGCGTCTACGTGTCGAAGCATGTGCTTCGGAGTTGCATTTCGTGCACAGAGTCCCACCTCCCATCGGATCCACGGGGAAGGGCAAAAGAGAGAGAGTGAATTGATGCGTTTCATCGTGACAAGAACTTCGATATCATTATCGAGGCTGACGAAGCACGGACGACGCGACCCACGTCATCTCATTTCCGCCATATCCGCAATACCCACCTGCCCGATTCGACACCTCGCGGTTTCCTGGCGGCTGGTCCCCGTCACGACTTCCAGTCAAATATTTACCTTTCGAGAGAACACATAAACATCGAGGAAGATTTTGCTGTTTCCCTCGATGGGGATCGGAGCACTGAATTTTGTCGAGATCTCCTTTAACTCGTTTACTTCTTTCGGCCGGTTTTATTTTTAAGTTTTCCGTTTCGTCGTATCGGTGGGAACATCCGGACTCAAGCAGGGATCCGATCCAGGGGCTTCGGCTCGTTCTCGGGCTGATTGTAGAACTGGTCTCGCAGTTCCAGATAATACGAGAGAACGAGCAGGAGGAAATAGACGAGGGCGACGACGACGACGAGCAGCACGATCACGACGTACACGATGGCCGAGGCCTCCGTGTTCGCCGCGACGAAGATGGTGAAGAAGAGCGTCGAGAACGTGAAGATGCTCTCCAGCGACGCCCAGATCACCCAGGGCAGGAAGTAGAAGCGGTTGTTCTGCAACACATCAATGCGTCGGGCATTGGAAGAGGGGAACTTTCGGATTGCTGGGCGAACCCATGTGAACAGAATTTTAAAATAAATAAATAAATAAGATGAATTTAAAAATAAAAAAAGACCCAACAAACTAAGGAATGAAAAAATGTTGGGAATGATGTTCTAATGAATTCCCTCTACACCCCCTTGCTCAAGACGATTACTTCCGAGAAATCGCACCCCACGAAGAGACGAGACGTGTTGAGTCGCAGGAAGTGAGAAAAAGAAATAGGAATGGTCTCGAGAAGAGGCGTATGCGTGAAGAGACCAACCCTTAGAGATTAAGTTCTCGGTATGAGGCAATTATATCGTTTGCCTGAATTATCGACGGGCGGCAATTATGTAGTTTTCCCGAATTATCGACGGGCGTCGGCACGAGAACCGAGGAACCCAAACGAGCGGCATACCAGAATACGAGCCGGGATTCATATCGGTCCCGGCCGAATGAGTTCCGGCATCGCATTGTCCGACCCGCCAATTACGCACTCTCTTCTCTCCTCGGGAAAAGAGAAAGAAGCACACAATGGCAGTTATGCAAGACGGGTTCCCGTCCCGTGTGAAGAGAGCGCAGATTGCGCGGAAGGCGTTTCAATGCGATGCCATCTGTAAGTGAAATGAGGGCAAACAGAAGAATTTCACTTTCCCCCCCTTGTTGACACCCCGACCGGGGGAAAGGTCCGCCGCGGAACATCGCCCACACGAATCTAAACGACCCACCGTTCCCTCCAATAGAAAACAATCGACATTCCTTCGAAATGGAACATTCTGCAAATCAGGGCATTAAATATCTGTAAATGTAAATGACGTAGTTGCAAATATCGTCGATAACCTGACAAAAGAGCGAATCTTTAATTAATTTTTCATGAGCAAAAATGACCCCCCTTCGGACTGAAAAATAGTACTCGAGGAACTTTCCCTTTTGCAGCAGGAAGCTGAATCTCGATTTCCTAGTGGAAAGGCGAACATTCCACAATCATCATTCTCCAGTCTGAAAACAGGCAAATTCTCGTTTCCCAGAAAATGTTCGAAATTGCATATTCACCCCCAATTTCAGATCGTCGTGAACGTTACCACTCACAGCATTGACAGATACAAGCGAAAAAAAAAAGTATTTTAGACCTAGGCGCTGTTGTATAGCAAATATAACTTATTACCAATCATTTAAATACAAGATAGTTGTTTCACGCCATACTTCCAAATTTTATCCACGTCAGAAGTCAAGATTTCACATTACTTTTCGTCCGTTAAAACGGGAAAGAACAGTCCGGAAGGCTACTTGCAACCAAAAGCAGCAGCAATCGCTGTAGCGTTTAACATCAGAAAGTTATTTCATATTACATTCTTTCCACAAAAAAAAACCTTGTCGAGGCAAGCAATCAAGCCATGCCCTAAATTGAAAGCGGAGAAAGCCGAGCATCATTCGCGTCGTTCGCGGCATTCGCGTCGTTCGCGTCGTTCGCGGCATTCGCGTCGTTCGCGTCGTTCGCGGCATTCGCGTCGACACGTCGAGTCGAGAGGATCTCATTTCCACGAATGGATTAATTTGGATTTCATTTCAACGGAGGCCGTGAGAATATCGGAGTGCTCGACAGACGATTTCTTTTTTTTTCTTCGGTATAATACTTCCAAATAGCGCAAGTTCCGAGAATGCCGAGGCATTCAAGGCTCTTGTCTCGCGGCAACATCTGAAAACAAGGAATATGCGATAGCCACCCCAAATCCCGCGATTTCAGACAATGGGTCGACTTTCGCGATTCGTGGCGGCATCTCAACGGATAAGAAAAAATTCAAGTTAAAATAATAATAACAATAACAATAATAAACAGGAAGAGGCCCGCGTTTGATCTAAATCGAAAATGTTCACTCACATTTTTGACTCCATGGATGAGGATGAGACTGACGATGATGGAGATGATGAACCCCGCCTGGAGATTCACCGGGTTCTCGGCTCGAACTGCGCAACGACAAAAACAAAAACAAGACAATAAAAGACTCCATTGAACGAAGTTTGGTTCTAGAAACCATTTTCAATGACAAGAAAGTCATATCTCAGCTTCGCATTAAACGACTTTCTACGGGGCAACTTTTTCTTTCTCCCTCAACACGGATTCCCGTGTTGATATTCCGAGTGAAAGTACCTGCCTTCCCCCCCCACCCCCCCCCCCCCCCCCCCCNAAACCCCCCCCCCCCCCCCCCCCCCCCCCCCTTACGATACCTGCATTTCCTCCTGTCCGATCCGGTAGGAGGAGAATCAGAAGGATTTCTTCACACGATCGCCGTGAAAGGGTAGGCAGAATCGACCGGGAATCGAAAAGGAACCAAAAGGGAATCGAAAAGGAACCGAAAGGGAATCGAAAGGGAATCGATCGGCGACACGGCCGATCTCAAGCAGCAATTCCAGGAATGACCACCCTCAATTTCGCATGCAGTGAAAGTCGAGCACGAGGAAACGATCGGCGGAGCGCGCGATATGCTGCGTTGGCACGAGGCACGCGACCGGATCTCGCTCCCGAGACGATTATGTGAGTGGCGCGTTCGTTCTTCGCCGTTTCACCACATTTCATTTCCTTAATCGTCGTTTCGTGTTCATGGTTCTTAAGCTATCGTCCCGCGGATGCGACTGCGAGGTGGCGTCCGAACGTAACGGGGCGAATGCAATTTTCTCTCCTGCGTCACTAATGGTGCCGCTCCGCATTTTTCTACCTCGATCGACTAGCAATTCGGTCCAGCGATTCGAGTCATCGGAATCGAACGTGGCAGCTGCGTCGCCCAACTGCACGTTCGAAGAGAAGATGACGACGAATTTTTATTTTTTTTTGCGATTGGAGCCGCATAACCATAACCAACGTAAAGCACCAACAACGACACTTGGGTCTTCTTGCGAAACGCTGCTCAAAGACTCTGAACCCGCGATTCGCAACGGACGCGGACCGTCGACACGTGGCCACGTCACTGCACCACCACAGTGAAAGGCCACATTCGGCACCAGCAACACGCGCCACCCTCCGAGAATTAGGGTGAGAGGTGATACCCCATTCATCACCCCTTCCCCCCTCCCCCTCCCCCTTCCCCCCTCCCCCAATCCGAAGGGAGCCCTCGGCGGGCAGCGCTTCGACGGCGACGAGGAAGTGCAACGAGCGGTGCAAGCCACTTCCGCGTGCAGCGCCAAATCATTTATTTCCAGCTGGCTTAAGAAAGCGGGTTCACCGCCGAAAAAGGTGCACGAGGGTCACGAGAGATCACGTAGGAAGTAATAATGCCCAATTTCATTCGTATGCATCTCACACATACCCTATAAACACGTTTGTCCCTCTACTTTTGGATACCCTATATTTTAAACCTGTAATTTTCTCTCATGACTTAGATAATTGGTTCGTTCCCCCCCCCTTAGAGAACTAATTACTTTCGCTACTTAAAGGGGCCCATTCTGCTTTTTTTTTATTAATTCGCCCGGCTCATACAAAATTCTCATCGAAAATTCCGGATTACTTACACTTTCCAGAGTCCACCGTCCAAAATGACGAGTTCCAAGAAAATCTTCCATTCCACTGGACTACGTGGTTTTATTTGTGACCTCCTGATATACAAAAGGAAATTGCTGCTTTCGTCACGTTCGACCTGCGGAAAGCTCATGTCCGGCAAAGCCTCCGGGGTTAACTTCGGCCTCTCGGCCGAAACTCGATTTCGCACGCCAGTGGTCTCCCATAATGGTGAGACAGGACAGACGACTGGAGTCAAGACCGGAGTCATGACCGGAGTCACGGTCACACCTCTTCAAGGTCCTGCTCCCAGACACATCATTTTCGGGCTCGGTGCCCGAAGGAACGGCAGGCGGACGAAACACAATCGGTGGCTTCGACAAGGAGACGTAACGGTCCCTATATTGTGCCATGTGTTCCAAGTTTAGATCGATCTGGGGACCAGCCGATTCGAGCATTGTATTCACAAAATACCACGCTTGGTATTGCGACCCTTGTGATATGCGGCATTAGAAAGCATGCCATGTGCATACAATGTGAAGGGTAAAACTATCGGCAGTGCATTCCGTATGCAGTTTTACGCTGCCAGTTAAGATCTCCGAGCATGACACTCATGACATGAATTTCACTCGGCATGTCACACAAACTTTCACTCTTCTCCTGGATACAAAGTAGTTTCAAAGAAGCTCAGAGCCGCTCTTTTCCCTTCGAGTTCGACTATCTTTCTCCTCCGAGAAGCGATCTTCAAGACTCGGTTGAATAATATTTCCCTCGTGCGGATCTGAAGCGTGTCGATTTCCCTTCGAGTTGGGCCCAGCCCAGTCGAGACGAATCCTAATCGGCATCGGATTCGGGCATCGGAGCACGAAGGGAAACGAGATGCGACACGCCTGGGAAGGGCAGACGTCGCAGGGCCCGGCCCTTTCTTTCGGGAAGAATCGAGAGAAACGCGCGATCCACGGGCACCGCGATTTTCCGCGCTCCGACGCGATTCGATTGGATTTCAGTCGCGCGAGTCCAATCGCATCGTACGTGCCATTCATCACGTCGGCCGACCGAGCTGCCAAGTTGGCGGGTCCGTTAACGACCGCCACGCAGCCACCACCTCCGCCGTCTGAGTCGTCCGCTCGGGATGGAGGCCAGCTGGGCCGAGTCGTCTCCGACGGGGTGCTTCGCTCGAGGAGGTCCTTGCAGGTGGGCCGGGTAAGTTCTGCTGCTGGGCCTGAAGGGGGTCCCACTTTCTCCATCCAGCCGAGCAGCTAACTCAGATAGATCGTTCGACTGACACGGACGAGATGAATTGTGCGTGGCGTCGGAGCGGGCGTTTCGCGGGCGAGACGGGGTCGGGGTCCGCTGGATGTTCCGCGGTATCGGAGCTTCGCGTGTCGACCGGATCCGACCGTGAAATCGAACGCGTGCTCATCGAGTCCCACATGCCGTCACTTCTGGGTCAACGCCGTATAACCGGTCGTCGTTGCTTTGGGTTCGTTCGATCCGAGTCCTTTGACATCCCGCCGCGTTCGCGATGGCGATCGATGGGGATCGGCCTGGCCAAAATGGGTTTCTCTTCCCGATTCCCCTCGGCAAAAAAACTCGATTCGTGATCGCTTGGAGGAAAGCACTCATTTCGACCTCGTTAATATCTTGTTCTCAACTTACCGGTTCGTTTTCTCTTATGCCTCGATGAAACGCGTTCTTCCATATACCCTTCCATATACGTGCCGACTTGATACGTCCTGGCTTATTTGTTTCATGCTGTGACATAGTGCGCATTACTTTCATCCTGCACGAGCGTGTTTACACAATCACTTGATCTGCATTGACTTTTACGTGCCAAGATAACACACAAGAAGTAGAACGCATAAACGGCGCCTTTGAAGTTCGCGTCTCCCGAGCATGTTATCATAACTCTTTCCGGCCCCCGCTTCTCGGAAACAATTCCACAGCGTGTTCGTACGAGACGAATGCTTGCCTCTTTACGAGACGAATGCTCGTCTCTTTACGAGACGATGTCGGCCAAGCTACGCGGGCGGGGAGACATCCCGCCCTTGCCAGCGGCGGAACTGGAAACGGCAGACGAGGATAAGATCCCAAATCGGGAATTTCCCTCGGCACTCGTTAGATGTCTCTCGTGCGGGGATGGAGGCCTCGCCCGCATCCACACGGTTGCCGAAGACGGTGCCGACGGGAGGAGCGGGAGCCGATTCGCCCCCGTCTCCGCCTCGAGCCTCTCGAACCGGGCAAGGAAGATCTCGAGAGGATGAGACCGAAAACTGCGAAGCGATCGGATTCCATGGTCGCTGCGCAGAGCGGAGCCGCTAATGCGTCACAGCTGCTTACGCACTTTAATAGTGGGGTCCGTCATAATTTTCATTACGGAACGGAATTCTTGGCAGCGCCCGAATCCTCTAGCTGGATGAGATTTGGGATATGGAACACAGATCACATGCATCAAACGATGGTCTGCGTATGACACTGATACGAGTCAATTTATCAATCGATTGGGAATCGGAATAAATGAATAGTCTGGAGCCGTCGGTGCTACCTCAAGTTGTCGTGGTTAATTTGTATTAATTTATTTAATTTATTATTATTATTATTTTTTTTTTTTTGGGGGGGGGGGGGGGGGGGGGGGG